GGTTTTGGGGTAACGGCCTCTTGATGTAGGTGTTGGCTTGATACTATCATCAAAATGGACACTGGAGCACTGTGACTTTCTCAAAAGGTATGCTACGAGTCTGGCAATGTATACAATGTGACCACACAGACTGTGGCAGAGCCATAAGCCCTGGACATGTTGCACGTCATTCAACGCCACTGCACACGACTGCTTGCATTTCGCTGTAAGGACAGAACATAGTTTAGTCATCTCTAATGGACGGGCAAGCAAATCTCATACACAAGGCCAGCACTCTGCAGCCTCCATCATCATCACCAGCGCCACAGCCTCCACACTTCCTGTTCAGACCTCAAAGAGAAAAACAAGAACTTGGCCAAGTGCTCTCAATACCTAGATATTCATTTAAAGTTATACTTAAGTGCAACCCTCCACGTATCTTCTTTTAGCATCGAACACATCTTGGGTAGCCCTGGGTGGAGACGCCTGCTCTGTTCAAACACTGACAAGCAGAAGCACCTGGTGAGGTCTAAAAATTCCAGTGCCCACACCCAGGTCCAGAGGCTCTGAATCCATGTGGCCGCCTCCTTCCAACCCCCCAATGCCGAGGCCTGAGCGGCCTCAGTGGCTGCCTTGGGCCCTGGGGATCCAAGGCAGACTCCCAGTGGCTGGCTGGGTAGTGATGCCTATTCCCAGAGGGCCCAGCTCCCAAGATGCGCTCCCCCCAGGCATGGCATCAGAGGTCCCTACAAGTACAGGCTGGCTGGGTGTACTGCCCTATGAGCCTGGGAGTCCTCTACACCAGTTCTCTATCCATTCAAATGTCACCAAAGGTTTTAGACTGCCTAGCCTGCACCAGTGAGATCTACCTGGCAACTCTGCTGAGATTGCAGGGAGAAGGGAAGCAGGGAACCAGCCCACCTGCAGGCCCTGGACCATAGGCAGCACTGACTTGCTGTGCCACCAGAGGGTGCAAATTCCAGAGCCCCAGCAGGTCCCAGGCTGGCGCTGTGCTCTGGACAAAGGCAAGGAGGAGGTACTGTTTAGGCGAGGTCCCTCCAGCACCCGCCACACCTTCATGATTCCCACACACCTCTTTCCTCTTCAGCTCCAACCTTGGGAGCTGCCTCGAGCTAGGTTCCAAGAGCCAGGTTCCAATCTGTCCCCTGCAGATGTCCATCTAGGGACAATGTCCAAAACCGAGCCAAGGACTCCCAGTCTTCCCACCATCAGCAAGTGCATTTCAAGCTACAGCTTCACTTTTGAATTTTGCTCATTTGGACAGTTTACCTGGTGTTGATCACCTGCTTGAACCACACTGAGTATAACTTCCTTTACACCCTACGCTGGAAGACAGTGAGGGTTGCATGCAATCTGCTCCCTGACCCACATGCAGGGATAATAGCCTGCTTCTCCTTTTCATTCTCTGGGGCACAGCTAACTACTCTGTAACTGCTCCTTGAAGCAGACAAGCTGGATATGAACATCAGGATGCACAAACACATGACCCAAAGCAGTCACCTTCAGAAGGAGTTGCCAACGGCATCTGCAGAGAGGAGCCCTGCTCTCAGAAGGCCTGGCTCAACTCCCCAGTGTAATGCTGACATGCTTTTCACACTTGCCCGAGTGGACAAAGCCATCACTAAGTGTGCTAGGCTGGTCCTTATCACTGTGCACACAGGGGCTAGTAGGCTCTGAAGGAACTGAGCACACTGCTGAGCTCAGCACAGGGGACCCAGCAGATGACCCTTTGGGCCTTGACTATGGGCCCCTCTCCATCCAGGCTGGACACCACCAGCAGGTTTGCAGAGAGCAGTTTCTAGACATGGGAACAGCCATAGAATTAGCACAATGTGGGAGCAATGCGGCCTTGGCCATTGCCACCCAGGCCATAGAAGAGACTTTATTCTCTGGGTCCAGAAGCTCCTGGATTTATCGTTGATTCCAAAAACCAGCCAAAGCAGCCTGGGTCTGCCAAGTAACTCAGCTGGCTTAGTAACTCAGGCTCCACCCGTGGTACTGCCTGAATGGCGAGTCTGGGGCTGGTTTCTAGCCAGATGACTGTCACTACACATGCTTGTGGTAGGTGGCGAAGGATTTCATTAGGTGAGAGGGAATCGGGCCAGCAGCCCTTCTGAGCAGTGCTGTCACCAAGACACAGAATACCTCTCGCCTTGACCTTCCCGGAAAGGACAGGGACCTGGGACCTTCCAAGAGCATGTCAGATGATCTCTCACTCTCCATCCTAAGTGTCACAATCTCTGTGAATTATCTTTGCTGACCATAACTCCAACCCCACTACTGCTAAGGGACACCTCCCAGAAATCCTTCCAGGGGTAGAGAAATCTGTTTCTTAGACCAAGAGCCTCGGGCCAGTTAGCAACGCTGCATTCAGCCATGAGTACAAGGAGCTAGCACATCAAGGTAAAAGCCAGCCTCTATTCATCTCCAAAGTGCACCCTTTCCAACACCCTTGCTTCACAGTCCCAGTTACATAAAATCTCCTAGGGGGTTTGTGAACCAAAAAGCCAAGGTCTGAGCCAACTATCTGCACAGGGACCCAACCAAAGTAATCTTTTAGGAACACCCCCCACCCTGCAATTCTTTTTGCAGTAGAATGGGGAACTGCACCAAGCCAGACACAAACCTGCACCTCTCAAAGGTGAACAGAACGTTGGTGAACAGGAGGAGGCCGATGCAGTCAGGAGATGGGGGTTTCATCTCAGCACCCTACCCTAGGACATCCAAGCACAGGAGGGATGACAGGGAACAAAACAGGGCAGCCTTGGTGTACTGGGCTCAGTAGTGCCCCTCCCCCAAACTCCTATCCAGCCAGAACCTGTAAATATAACCTAACCTTATTTGGAAACAGGGTCTTTGATGAAATCAAGTTGCGATGAGATCATACTGGATGGAGGGTGTGGCTAAGCCCAATGGCTGGTGTCCTTAGAAGAAGGAAGTTTGGACCCAGATGTACACACAGGGTAGAGGTCCATGTGTAGACGGATGCAGAGCGGGGAGGGATGCATCTGTACCCAAGGAACACCAAGGATACCCGGGAGCCACCCAAAGCCATGAGAGAGGCCTGGAACAGAGCCTCCTTCAGTGTCTCCAGAAGGGACCAGCCCTTCTGACATCTGGAATTCACTCTGAGGGCCTCCCGACTTCGAGACAATAAATTCCCCTCGCTGAGCCACTCAGTTATGGTCATTTGTCACAGCAGCCACAGGAGACAGAATAACTGGGCTTGGCAGTGCAGCTCTGGGCTGAGAGTGGGCTCCTGCACTGGGATAGGGTTAAAAGTTTTGGCTTCATGTCGATTTTGTTGCAATGATTTGGACACCAGTGCCAGGAAATCTAGGCAGAGGAGAGTAATACGCAAGGCAAAAGGAAGCCAGGCGGCATCTGCAAGAACTCCCGACCCTCAGCAAGCTCTGCTCCAACCACTGCAGAAGCAGCTCCCAGTTCAGTGGCTGCCTCAGCACATAGCTCAGCAAGGACAGAAGCAGCTGCCTGGAAATTCTCCCCCACAGGGCTGGGGAGTGTGAGGTGGTCCCAGGCCCAGCTCCTTCCTGCTGGGCTCCTATGGACCAAACCCCCAGTTCCCTTCTGGGGCCCCATGACTTGCTGATCAGAAGCACAGGCCTCTCTCGGCCCTGGAGTCCCAACAGGCCAGTACTCCCAGAGGACACCCTATCCCCGGAAGGCCACTCACAGTTCCCTCCATGGGAGGAGCCTCTTCTTTGCCCCCAAATTTTGCTGCAAATCAGGTGTTGTGGAAACTCCCCTGAAGCACTCAACACACCCAAAGCCCAGGTGGCCTGAGCCATGTGGTCCCACAGGTAGGAGCAAACTGCAGGCTCCCCAAGCTGGGCAGGCAGTCCTCAGGGCTAATTTCGAGGGGGCAAGGAGTCTTGGGAGGGGATGGGGGTCACTGGTGACAACAGCAGGAACACAAGAGCCCCAGCTTCAGTTCTGGCGGGTGAGGGATACCTACCCAGCCTTGCCACATGGAGCAAAGGATACTCAGCTGGCGGCACTTAGGGGCAGACATTAGAGGTAAGGCAGGGAGGTCGAGGAGGCTCACCTGCTGCCCACCTGAACGTGTCACCACCAAGACAGGAGAGGCCTGCAGTGTCAGCCCTGGCGGAACCCCCCGTTTCTACTGTTCTCCCACTCTGAATCCTGCTCCTGGGGACCAGCCCATATAACTGAGCTCCTCCTCCTTCCTTTGCACATATTGTGGGGGACCAGGCATCCGAGGGTAACAGCTATGTGCTGAGCAGTCACACAATCCCACCCGCTCCCTCCGGTCACCAAAGCTCCAGTTTTGGGGGGCATCCTGGGAAAAGTCACAGGCAGCGAAACACTCAGGATGCCGGTCCCTGCCGGGGTCCCTGTGGGGGGGTCCCTCGTGGGCAGGGCACTCAGCAAGGAGACAGACCATCCACCTCTACGGGCTTTTCTCGGGGTCCCTCTGAGCCCCGAGTAGGGGGACTTCATCTTGCCCCGTTTAATACGCTTAATACATCGGCCCTCAACTGGGGCCGGCGGAAGAAGCACCCCCCACCCCAGAGGCCCGAGAATCCCAGCTCCCACCTCACCTGTGGGAGTTTCTCGGCAGGCAGGTTTCTAAGTCTCCAGTCTCAGTTGCTCAGTCTCCAGCCACCCCCAGCCCAGCCATGTCCCCCTCTGCCCCGCCCCCAGCGCTGGCATCCCAGGGCGGCCGCCTGCCAAACCCCAAGCCGTTCCCTGGCTCCCTTTTCAGGGGCTGGAGCTGCTGCGGAATTTCGGTGGGATTTTGAGGTCGCGAAGCATCTCACCAAAGAGAGGGAAAGAAAGGGAGAGCGGGAGGGAGGAGAAAAAGTACGCTTCGGGCGTCCACTTGCGGGATTCTAGGGGGCCCCCGGAGCGCGGGGTGCCTGGCCCTGGGCCGCGGGCGGGGCGCCGCGGAGCCGGGGGTCCCCGTGAGCGCGCGGGGCGGTGGGCCGCGCGGGCGGGCCCGGGGTCACGCCGCTTACCTACGTCCGCATTGCAAAACGCCTGTTGCGGGTGCACCGGGGAGCAGCTGCAGGCGTCGGCAGCGCGCGGCAGGGTCCCCAGGAGCAGCAGGCCGAGCGCCAGCCGCAGGCTGCGGGCCGCGGCGCCCATGGTGGGCCGGGGGTCGGCGGGGGCCGGCACGCCCCTCCTCACCTGCCCCGCGCACCGGCGCGAACTTTCCCCTCTCTGGGTCTCGGGGCGGCGAGGGCACGGCGCGGGCAGCTGCTCGGTGGCGGCGAAGAAAGCGGGGAAGGGGCGGCGAGCGAGCGACTCCCCGCAGGCCTTCTATGGATGTGTTTGCTGCGCGCTCGGCCGAGCCGGCGTTTTATTGCGCTCCGAGGATCCTCTGCTCCTCCTCCCGGTGGCTGGCAGCCAGTGCAGGCCGGGCGCTACCAGCACCCCTCCTCCCGCGCCCGCGCGCCGGCCCTCCCTAGAACCCGGGCTTTTGTTGTGCCCAGCCGGGCCCGGGCGCCGGCTTCCCGAGCCACGGGTGCGTCGGCCGGGCCAGCGCGCTGCGCACCTGGCTCCCACCGTGCAGGGCCCCAGTGGGCCCCTGGACTCAGTGCCTGTGACTAGAGGCGGGTTCCGGAGGCTCCAGGCCGCCCACCGCCCTTCCTTCCAGCCTGGCTCCTGGGTCAACACTGTCTGATCCGTTTCCACCCAGGGTAGATTCCAGACACGGGCTGTGTGCCCTTTGGCCCTTAGGCCCGGGGCCATTCCCCATGGTCCATCCCCTGTGGGCTGGAGGCCCCCCTCAAACACCCCAAACACCCGGGGCTCATTTTTGCAGTGGAGGCCTTAGAATTTTAACTGTGCTCAGCTGTTTATGGGAGGGGGTGAGGGGTATGGTTGATGTGAACAAAACAGGATTTTTATAAACTAACCATATTTTAGACCAGTCAAAAGGGGGTTCGGGTGGGGGGCAGGAGCGGGTAGGATTGTGTGAGAGGCGTTTGTGCAGAGCGCACAAGGCAGAGCTTTCCCCTAAACGGTTCTGTGTTCCAGGAAAGGCCAAGGAGCTTACAGTTGTGGTCAGGGCGGGAGCGTGGTGCCCGGTGCCTGTGCCTGCGTGGTGAACCTGCCCCTCCGCACACCGGCAGTCCCCCTGGGAGGTGAGCCCAGGAAAGGAACGCAATTAAAAATAATTGCCCACCAGACTTCGTGTGCTGACCTGAGATGGGAAACGCTGGAAAATACTAAAAGAATGGAAAAAGTTTCTTTCTGCCCGTGCATGCTTTTGAAGCAGACAACTGGGAGAAAAGTTCAATAGGCAGAATAGTTATTTTTAGCACCCTGACAAATCCAAAGTCACTTTTCGGCTTTTGTTAACCTAAAATAGAGTGATGTCGTTCTTGGGATGATGTTTGATGCTAACTTTTTGGAAGAACAGTTGATTTGGAGAGTTACACGTTCCCTGCCTGTAGCCTTCCATTTCTTTCACTCTTTCTCATGACAAGTGGAAAAAATGCTGTTGAACTTCATAGAGCCCAGGACTCAACTCACAAGTTTATTAGAAAAGCAGGTAACTTGGTGCACACTCGGGCTTTTAGGCAAGACGTGCACACCAGGGAGTAAATATGTGTTAAAGTGGCAAATACTTTGGAGGTGGGACTGATGGTGTCACAGAAAAGGCGAGGGGCCCATGTGAGGTACACGGGGCAGCAGAAGGGGGATGTTTCTCTCCTAGAGCCTGGACTCTGCAGCCTGAAGCACCTGGCTTGCGTTGTGGGTTTCCTCCCTGAGTCATCCACGCCAGTGTGCACACAGGCTGGACTTCTGGCCAAAAATACAAATCTTTTCTAGACCCCAATTCTGCTACTGGAGAATAAGTACCCCATTCCTTGGCTCCCCTACAGCTGTCTTCTCCAATGTGCCCCTCACCAGAGGTTTCCACCCCTTGCCCCCACCCCCACCCCACCCCTTTCCCCTTCTCTTCTTCCGGTCAACAAGACTTGTCTGAATGTCCACAGCAGCCTGGGCACCTTTCTGAAAACAGAACACTGCAGGGTGTACAGGTCAGACGAAAGTCCCTGTGATGGGAGGCAGAAAGACCCCAAGGCCCTGAGAGCAGGCAGGTGTGCTCACCTGGTGGCCATCAGAGATGTGGCCAAGGAGAGAAAAGGAGGCTGAATGCAGGAGACGGAGCAGAGAGCGGGAGAGGATGGGGTGGGTGGCACCAGAGGGTGTGTTTTCTTCTGAGTGTGTGTGCGTTGGTGGGACCCAGCAGAGAGGGGCAGGAAGGAGGATCAGGAACCCTGGAACCCAGGAGGTCACAAAGACCAGGCCATCCGCCCCTCTGCGGACCTTCCCAGCCTCCTTATCCAAAAAGGGGGATTCACAAGCCCTTCTCGTGGATTGCTGTGAGTGGGGACCTAAGGCTGGAGCTGGCGGATGGCCTCATCAAAGGGGTCTAAGGCTGGGAAGGGGTGGAGCACCCCAACACCCAGGCCTGCTCTCCTGCTCTCCCCCAGCCCTCATACTGCCACTAGCCTCAGTCCATGACCACTGCCTCCCTCGAGGTTAGGACTCTCCCAGTCCATTCCAGGAAACTGAGGCGGCAGGCTAGGAATCCACCGAAGACAGGGCATGGAGGAGGACCAGCCTGCTGGTGCACTCTTGCCTCTGCTGTGGGCCGGCAGGGCTCAATGCGGCAGGATGGTGGGGAGGCCCAGGTCAGGACACCCCACACCTGGGCGCAGAGGGATGTGGTGGGAGGATGCCGGGCCAGCTGCTTCCCCATCCCCTTCGCTCCTAACCAACCTCCTGTATCTCTCCTCTTTATATTAGTGGGTGGGGAGTGAGACAGCCCTGTGGGGCACCCCAGCCATGCTGCAGCCTGCAGGATGTGGCTCATATCTGCCCCAGAGCAGTGGCTGTTGCGGACTCTCAGGGGAGGCAGAAGGGGGCAGTGCTGGCCAGGCCAGCCCTGGAAGGGTTATGGAGAGGGCTTTCAGGCCCTCATTCTGCTGAGAACACTGGCCTGGCTCGTCAGGCCCCACCAGGTTTCCCAGCAGAGCTCTGTCAGTCTCTCCCATCCCTCCCTCGGCTGAGCACACCCAGCAGACACGTCCCCCGGGGAGGACCGGGTAAACACTGTTGGGGCCAAGAGGAAGTGCTGATGCCTCCTCCCAGGTACCGAGTCAGGGCACTGTGCAGGCCTCCCCCATCTTGCCTTAGGTGGGGCCCTTGCAGCAGGAGGGAACGCTGTCCTTCTCAGGGACACGCCTTCTGGGTCTGGACCAGATCCATCTCCCCCGAGCGGCAGCCTTCTCTCCATCGAGACAGCTTGAGTGGAGCTGAAGGCCCCACACTCTTTCTGGCTGGTTCCCCAGAGCCAGATGCTCTCATCAGTAGCAGGCATCAAAGCTGGCCCCAGGCAGCCAGGAAGTGGACCCCAAACCCGCAGTCCAGAGCTCCAGAAGCAGTCGGGTGCCTTGGGCAGGTCAGGGGCTGTAGAGGGAGGTGGGGATGTGTCTGTGGGTCTGATTGTCTTTTCTGCAGCCTGACAGGAGGCTCCCATGAGCACCATGATGAGTCTTTCTGTCCAACTGAGCATCAGATTCATGGCCACAATAGGTGTGTGGCGTCTGTCCCCAGGGTCCCCTGCAGGGCTGTCTACCCAGGACACCCTGAGGATGACAAGGTGATGCATCAGCAGTACTAGGCCCGATGGTGGCCATGTGAGTGTCTCCATGGTCCGTGGTGAAGGTGCGGGAGGGTGTCCGACAGGAATTTCGTGACAAATTGTCTTCACTCAGGGCCAGGCTTCTCAATCCTCTGGATCTCAACACTGGGCCAGATCACTCTCTGGTGGGGCCATCCTGGGCGTTGTAGGATTCCAAGCAGCCCTCCTGACCCGGACCTTCCAAATGCCAATAGCTCCTTCTCCAAGTTACAACAACCAAATATATGTCCAGTCCTTGCAAAATCGCTCTGGTTGAGCATCACTAACTTAAAGAACCGGGTAAAAGCCCTCAGTTCTGAGCAGAAGAGGTACAGAGATGTGAACACCAGGGCTAACACCAGGGCTCCTTTGAGTAGTGCACACAAGGCTGTGTCCCAGAGGAAGCTTTATCAGGGACCTGAGACCCGGGAGAAGGTGCCCCCCACACTGTCAGGGGCCGGGGAAACCAGGGAATACACTCAGTTCTTTCTAGAGAGTGAATCTGTTGGGATCTGGAGAGATGCAAATAAAAGTATCAGCAAATTAGCAGGGAGCACCTGAGCCCTGGAAGCTGGGGAAAGGTGGGTCTTCCGGTCTCCTCTGGATGTAGGAAACTTACTTGCAAGGGAGGGCGCAGCCCTGTGAGGCAGCCCCAGGGCTAAACCACTTCTTTCATTAGTATTAATTTTTGTCTTTCATTATTCTGTGAAGCCTTCTTGGCTGTAGCTGCCAGGCATCCTTGTTAAATGATTTCACTCTTGGTCCACAGCCCGCCTTGGGGTTTCCTTCTGCCATGTCCATTGCTGTATTTTATGCTGTCCCATACTGCTAGGCCTGTGCCTCCCACCCCGTTTCCTCCCTTCCTCCCCAAGACAGGCAGCATTTAGGGCAAGGGCAGCTGTGAGCCATTGATATAGGAGAAATATAACTCCTGACCTGTTAGATGTCACATGTGCCAACCTTGTGTCCTCCGAATATCGAAGAGTGAATTCCAAGGGACAAAGGAGGTTAAGAGTAGGAAAGGTTTATTAAGAGAAAGCCCCAAAGAGAAGAGATAGGAGGGGTCTCAAAAGGGGTCATCACTGAGGCCCTTTGTGTGTATGTGGGGGTGGAATTTATACCCCAAAATCACAGCATGGGTACAAGGTGGGTCACACTACAATCAACCTGTTGGATTACAAGTATGGCCGCTTAGTAATGTTGATCCCATAGGGAAAGGAGTCACGTAGCAAGGGTACATGGAAAGATCAAAAGAATTCCTGGAAAGGGAGGGGAGTGTGGGTCCAGGTGTCCTGGTCACCCACCCACGTGTCTGATGCCTATCGGGGGGACCGCTGGACCAGGTGGTGCTGATTACAGCACAATCTCAAATTGCTGCTTATCTCTAGGGAGGGGAGGAATGCAGGCCTTGCTACTGCTTCTCCATTCTGTGGCCTGGTTCTCTTCAGATTTGCCTCCAGCCACAGTTCTGATATCTGTATTTTTTTGTGCTGACTTCCTTGAGGGCCCAGTCCCTCTCTGAGCATATATTAATTTCTGTCTAATTTATCTGCCTCTAATACCAGGGCACCCACCTCAGGTGCCGGGGTGCCAGCCACTGCTCATCCCTGGGGGCACGGGGTGGGGGAGACAGTCACAGCTCCTAGCAGCAGCCCTGACACCACAGTCTTCTTGGACCAAGTCTCCG